AAGGATTTATCAGAAAAAAAGAAGCAGTAAAAATGTATATTGTGTGTGTCCTTCAACGAGCTCAAGCCTGTGTTATTGAAGTGGACATGATGTTCTCTGAATTATGGATGCTGCACAGACTAAGAAAGTGAGTTGGACAGAGCAACTTTGTTGTCACGTCTGCATCTGTCAGAAAACAAACAACACATCTCATTTAAAGAATTGGGCTGCTTGGTTATGTGATCTTTTTCAGGTCTTGATGTTTCCTCATTTTTCTATTTGATGTCAAAACATCATTTGATGCTCAACTTTCAAAAGTCTGCTTTTAGTTTTGTATTTCTTTATTCCGCACAGACTTCCAAAGAGGCAAAACTGCTGTGAAAAAAAAATAAAAAATGCGCAATTGATGTGCACCAGTTTACTGTCTGAATTAGACACACAAAACAAGGAACAGACAAGTGTAGTTACCAATTTAAAGTGTGTTTCCTGGGAAAGTCAGGGCCCCAATAAAATGATAGATTGAATGTTGTATGCAAAGGGATGCTTTACACCCACAAAAATAGCCTAATTGCATTCATTCCTGTGAGAAGTCCACAAATGTTGAATCTAGATACTCAGGCGTATTGGCAGCAAGCTGCTAGACAGCAGATGACTAGCTTCAAACGAGTAGCGAGGGGGAGGGATGTAAAATCTTGACAAACAGTGAGAGCCAGCGTCCACATCATCTCTCGCCCCTGACAGGCTTCCCCATGCATGAATTCAAAGCTGGTAAAACCATGGCTGGATTCATTTTGATCTGACATCCATCATGTAGATCAGTGTTGTGGTTTCACTGTACTGTGTCCACGATAAGATGTTTTGGCAATCGGCCCATGACATCTGTTAGAGCCAGTCAAGAGAATCAGGGACCAATTTGGCGTTTGTGTCACAAGTTATTGTTCCCTTTTGGCTTTGAGCACTATTCAGTCATTACAGAATAGTCACAAGCACCAGAAACTGCCATCTATGTGAACAGTTTTTCAAATTAAGAAGGTTAATGAAGAAGTATGTATTAATTTGTGTACGCGGAGGTTATTATGTTGATTTTTCAGGTTGCAGTGTCGGTGTTCAGATCAGTTTTTGTTTTCATATCGGTACTGTGCTTTATGTTAAAAAAATAAAATAAAATGTTACAGCAGAGGGTTTTGTTTCTCTCTTGTATTCTCTTTCCATTTGTAAGAATATAACTGGTAAAATCCTTGCAGCCAGCTGCCTGGGGGTAAATGTGTTTTGTGTACGAGTTGAAAACCATTATGGGATAAACTACATGATATGCTGCAATATTAATGATGATGTGTGATGCCGGCGAGACGCATGTCCAGGAGTCTAGTTACAGCCATCAAAACCAGCCCTGCTCGGACTCATCCAATCAGAAGTAAGTCTCCTATTACTGACTGAAATATTTCACCATGCAGCGATTTAGCTAATAGCAGCATCCAGGACACCTTCAGAATATCGGCCTCATAGCTGAGTTATAGGACTGCAGCTGAACAGCACCAGCTTGTATGGCTGAAGCATGGCAGCATGTGTGTGGAAGGCGTTAGGCAGATGGGATGTGTCTGATATCTCTCACTCAACATAATGAGACAGGAATGCGCTTCACCAATCTTAGGGCCTGACTGATGGCAAGAGACACAGTGCCCACTCATACGGGAGGGATCTTTCCCCTCTTCAAAGATAATGAGATGACAATGTATTCAACTATCATTAGATAGAGACAGGGTTTTGGGGGGGAGGATAGAGGGAGAAACATTTTACAGCGCTTGTCTGCTGCCTTTGATCAGAAGGGAGAAGCAACTGTCATTCTTTGTATCAGCACTGGACTCATGAAAGCTCGGCTAACTACTTTATCACTTTCAGTGTCACTAGAAGGCTATGCAGCGGTTTGTAGTGTACTTCCTCGAGCGGCAGATTCTCCAGGCTCGAGCCAAGCGCACATCTCGGCGCTTGGATATTGTCCTGCTGCCTGTGTGATATGTTAAATGTGTCGTCTCTCTCTTTTTCCGAATTCAGTCGCTTGACAAAGAGTTGTTGCAGTGTAAAATCAATTTGTCATCACCTGGGAAGAGAAGACAACATTTTGCCTGACATGGCACTCTATTGCAACATGTCAAAAGTGCCATGTTAACAGGCTTATTTAAGCAGGCTTGACGAGACAGTCTTATTCTAAGTTGACAGTTTGTTGTGGCACTTGTAGGATCCATCTTGTCTTTAGTCCCTGTGGTGAAGCTCTCTTGCTTTTTTTTTTATTCACAGTCTTTCTCAGAACACTGTGTTTTGACATATAAACCATCCAAATCCTTCTTTTTTCCAGGCATTCTTCATTCAGCATTAGGCCAACTGATCTGCAGTGAAGTTCTGAGACTGTGTTTTGACAGAAAACAATTATGCAGTGTTATCATTTAACTGGCACAGGGAATGCGTTTGATGAAGTCCAAAATTCAGTGCCTGTAACATGTTATTTTTGTAACGCAACGCTTTGTAATTTATTTAAATGTTAATTCCTCCTAAAGTCAAAAAAAATATGTATTGTAAGACACATAAAAAGAGAGCAACTTTGTATATACGAGTCTTCGCAGCCAAAGATCAATATAGTACAACATTTGCAACTCCCGCTGTGTTGTTGCATCTTTCTCCCATCACTTTCTGTCTCTGTTCGCTGTCACAAAAAGAATAAAATACGAGGGAAAGCTGCTTCTTTACTCCTAAAAGAAAATACCAGAAAAAAGAGGCTAGGAGCTGAGCTTAAAAAAACAGAACAGTCTGTCAAAGCTTTGTCTCACAATCATGAGACATTGTTCAAACTTTGGCGATGCCGAAATCCCTTTAAAACCTGACAAATCATCTCTCAAGTCAGAACTCATCTTGTTCGTAGGCTTTAAGCTTCCCTTAAAACTCAGCAAGATGCTCATTTGAAAGTAAGAGAATGAGACGCCTTAACATCCAATTTCCCAACATTTCATCATCATGTCTCAATAATTATGCAGGGTTATTAGCTCAAGTATTTGTCCTTGGCATTCTTAATGCTGGTTGACATTTATTATGAACAGTAATGGTATTGGAGATTCTGATTCGCCGTTTACGGCGGTGAGTACATCCTCTGCAGTGCAACAGCACCCTCTCTTGATAATTTATGAAATGATTACATCACCATGCGGGAGCTTACAGTATGAGTGTGGGGTGATGCTGAAATAATACTAAAAGTCAAACCGCTGAGATGAACTGAGCTGAATACTCAGTAACAAAGCCTGAGGGTATGGATGCATATTTAGATACTGTGTGTGGACATTTTTATTACATAGAAGATAACAACCCACTCCTACTTTCTCTATCTTTTTCTTCTACACTAAATGCACACATTTCATTTTCTAATCCTCTAAAGGATTGAAACTTATTCTTTAAGTCATGTTGTAATGTTCCTGGCTTTGAAGGAGGAGATCATTAGGATTTCACGCTAATTCAATTAGGATGGTTTCATTTTAGTTTTAAAAATGAAGGAAACACATCAAGTGTCCCCCATTCTCCATATTGTAGCTAAATTTCACCAACTGGTTAATCAATTCCTCTCACTTTGGGGATGAGGCCTGTTTTAATATGTGCATTTCCAAATTTCAGAACAGAATGAATGGTTTCATAATCGCATGTTTGGATTAGAATTAGTGCGGTGATCATTTCAATGTATCACCTACGGTGACTCAGATGTATAATAAGGAAGTATTATTAAGCCAACACGCTGAGCTCAGTAAATTAAATTTAGAGAGGAACTGAGAATCTTCTTTTGCAATGTTTTATTCCTCATAATTTAGGTTATAAATACCTATACAGTTAAATAATAGGGATACCAGAGATAATCATAATAGGATTTCTACATCAGTGCTTTTCCACTTTAGCTAAAACAAAGCAGCTATGAATTAAATTAGTGCTGTACTGCCATACCGCTAAATTATCAGTGAATTCTATTTGTTTGAATCCCAGCAGGACACAGTAAAAGTCAAACTACTCCATCCATGTGATATTTTATGCATTCTCTCAGCTCTGTTCAGTGATTCAGTGACACAGTATGTTTCAGAGCATTTTTCTTTGGCACTTTACAGTAGAATAATACTTGACATGTGACACATTTTGGTTTGAAGCAGTGCATCACATTGTCATCATGTGGTGCTGACTCTCAGCGTGTATCACTTTGTGTTTTTAACTGTAACCTATGATTAGACTAACTTGGTTAAGCAGTTTAGTCTAACAGATGTGGAATCTCAGATTGGGCAATGCTGAGCGAACCCACATTAGAAGAGTACAACAGGAAGAAACAGAAAAGAGGAATCTTGTGTATTTATATAACTGTAACTCTAACTTATTACAATCATTACAGGGCCAAATTGAATAAAGCTATTTTCATCATAATGGCCTCATATTTCTACATCCATTAGACGGTGCTTCTCAAATTAACTGTACAGAGATTTAGTGAGATAAATTCGACATGTTGAGGCTCTCAGTAATATTATACTCTGAAGAGGTGAGCTTAGGTAAAAGCTATTATCCTTTTATTGATTTCCCTTATGAGATCTGACAGGAGAAGATGCAGATAAACAGAAATAGAAAGTTCGAGATGAATCTTTACATCAAGCGAGATATGGGATGCAGGAAAAAACAAGAAGGCTTCGGTCTCTATTATATTGTGTGTTTTCACAACATCTGCAGGTTTCTGAATTAAACCAGTACCAGCGAACACATAAGCCAATATTTTGTATGCGAAAATGATCAAAATCTACGCCAAACAAGTTGGAGGAGGGTGGGATGGAGGGACTATTTGGAGGGTAAACAAGGGAAATAAACAAAGGCAAGCAAAAGCAGTTGGTCCTCAGTCTGTTGGTGGGAGACTGGAGAAGCAGTCAACAAACATGCTTGCTTGATTTAGGAAGTGTGGTACTGCAACGAGAACAAAACTAAGGTTAATGCTGACATCAAAGTAGCTTCAGAGTCTGTTTAGTCAAAGAATCAGTTTTGTTTACTTAAAGCAGAACAACAAGAGGAATCAAAACCTGCCCGCTGCGGGGCCACAGCTCCGAACATGCAGAGAAGACTGGAGTCTTTTTATTTATAGGTTTGCATGCTGTACAAAATTATGATAAAAACATTAAAAGCAACATTTGGCCCCAAAAACATGTCATAATTACAGTTACAAATCTCTCTCTCTTTTTTTTTTTTATTGTGAACAAGTTGTCAAATGTAAAACGATAGACTCAGATAGGCGGTTTGGATGCAGCTGGTTCCACTTAGTTTGTTGTTGCATGAGGGTTGATTAAAAGGTTGCGCTGCATGATCTACATGACCAAGAGGGCAATATATATGCTAAAAAATACAGAAGAGACAGTGATCTTTATATATAATATTGTAAAAATCAAATTAAACATTCACTCAGCTAGCATGCCTAGAAAGACAAATGAGTAATAGTAGCTGTAGTCGCCAGCGGACTCTGGTTTAGGCATGATTCTAGTAACGCAAATGTAGTTTCAGAAAGTTCACAAAAATCTGTACAGCAATGTGAAATATCAATATGATATATTTTCTGTAATTCACAAATTTGTAAACCTTTATATAATGTGTAACAAGACATCTAAGACAAGCAAATGACTTTGGTGTTCTGTAGCTACAGGCTAGAAAAAAAATAAAAATAAAATAAGAAAGTGTCCAAATATATTATTCAGCGCAAAGTTCGATTTCATTCTCAGACTTTAAATCAAACTCTCCATGTTCACAGTAGTTTTCTTCGCTAAAGAGTAAGAATCTGTTCAGAAAATCCACTAAGGAATGACACTGGTACGCATTTATGTCTGTTTATTATGACAATTTTCATTATAGTGGCTATAAAGGGACATATAAACCCAAAAATATACTGTATGTGATGGCACTGATAAGAAATGTTTGTGTATAAATGTAAACTAACCCGGCTTATTTACTCGAAAATGCTTTACATTTACATTTAATCTTGCAGACATTCAAAGAACTTTTCATAAAACTAGTATAACAAACCAGTACAACAAAGGCTCGGCACTGATTTGCTACAGCTTTGCCAAGTCTATGAAAATTCTTGATCGGTTGAGAATGTGGAGAATGTGCGGTGCATTCCAGTTTCAGAACAAGTCCTCCCCAGTGGGCAGACATGTCCACTAATGATAGAAACAATGGTTTATGGGCAAGGCTCTGTCTGTGTTTCCCTCTGAAAAATCTGGAGAGCTGAGTTAAAGGAAAAGAAAAAAAAAAGAAAAAAAAACACGACTCTCAGAGGATGTGTCCTTGATCTGTTGTTTTGTTTGTCCACTCTTCTTCGCTGCTCTCTCATTTGTTTCCCATGCTGTTGTGAGACAAAATGCTCAAGGCAATTTCACCACCACCACGCAGGCGCCTGCCCTGCCAATGTTGAGAGGGACCTCCTACAGGAAGACAGAGAGGTTAACATGCAGCTTCTCATCTGAGGCTGTCTTCAAAAACTCCCATTTTACTTCATGCAGATAAGAGGGTTAGAGTAGCAGGATTGGAAAAAAAATAAAACAATTTCGAAAAAGAAAAACAACTATAAAATATTGATAGGTTTCAGTGACTTTATCTCCTGACGGAATGTGTTGTGTGACTAGTTCTGGCAAAACAAGCTACAATTCTATTCAAATTTTGACATTTTAAATGTCAAAATTTTAGCCAAAACAAAACTGGCATCGTAACATGCTTTATACATCCGAAATAATAGGAATCTAATGCTTTTAAATGTGCAAAAAATGATTTCAGTTGATACACATACCTCAGTCCACTCATTGTTCTGTGCATCGTAGGACTCGACAGTGTTCAGATACGACTGCCCGTCATATCCACCCACTGCATAAAGCCTGTCACCCAGCAGGCAAACGCCCACGGCATCCCGGGGAACGCTGAGAGAGGACACCGTGGTCCACGTGTCCGTCTTTGGATCATACCTGCAAGTGCAATATTTGGTGAAACAACTGAAGTGAAATGAGATTTGCTGCAATAAAAATAAAATCATTTATCCAATCAGCCAAAATCTCAAGAGGAAAACAGCATCCCATTGCCACTAATTACAGCATCCTTATGTTTGCCCTCTTTAATCACAGATGTCTCAGTGGTCACTGGTGAACTCTTTTCAGTACAGATAGAGAACCACATTGAAACATAAAAGCAAAACGCAAAATTGTCTATTGAACAGCAGCTGATGAAGGCTGAGTCCAAAGAAAGCTGGACTCATTAGTAATAGCAGAATTTGCTGAGCAGAATTCCTTTTCATCATATTGAGCATGTTGAAAATGAAGACATATTATAGAGTTTATTTTGTATGTCTTCTGAGTAATAAGGTGATCCAAATGTTAAAAAGTCCAGTCATGTATTGATGACACTAAGCTTAAAGCTCATGCATCTTTATGTCAGCTTTGAAGACAGAATGAGATCTGCATAGTAATTATGAAGTGCAAAGTTGCATTATTCAGTGAAAAGGCCATAATTACATGGATGTATAACAGAGAGGGACTGATGTCTTTCACTGGGACTGAAACATTTGATATGATACGTGGTTAAAGTCAGTTAAGGACCCCATGGAAACATCTCTGGCGTCAAAAATGTGAATTTTGAAGTTAAATGAAAGTTTTTTCCCATAAATATATCAAATTAATATATATAACTATTACAACTGAAACAGAAGAGGAGGGGGGGACTCTTTTAAAGCTCAGCAAACTGTTGTCTCATCGACTAAACCTAGAAAATATACAGATGGTGTAGCAGGCCTACAGGGATATACTCTATTTGCATTAATATATTCTATAGTTCTCTAGGTTTTGGAGGTTTGGGAAATACACAGATATCCAAGTAACACATCATAGGAACAGGAACAATATCTCTATGGAAGCTCTACATTTATATGAATCCAGATCGCACCTCATGTTTCCATCCAGGAGGATTAATGTGGCCACCAGATGGTGCCAGACATTAGAAAATGAAACCTTGTGTTGTAACAGTGATCTCTTCGATTGTGTTTTGACTCAGACATGTCTCAAAATGCAGGAACAGGGTGGGGATTGAGAGGAGTTCCACTCCCTTTTGTTCTTCTGAGAAAATCAACAGGCTTTGCCCCACCCATTCCCAAGCTCCAGCAGCAGGAATCCAAGCACAACACTGTGTTTGTCTGTTTTTATCGGAGGTGAAGCCTTTACTGACCTCTCAACACAATCAGAGAGTCTGGAACAGTGGTTGGAGGCCGGGGCATCATGTCCGCCTACAGCATACAGGAAGTTGTTATACGTCGCTACTCCCACTCCTCCTCGCCTCTTGGCCATGGGTGCACACATGCTCCACTTGTTGGTGTGTGGATCAAAGCACTCCATCGACCTCAGACATGAGCTGCCATCTCTGCCACCTACTGCAAACAATCTGAGGAGTTAAACAAAATGGTTCAAATTCTGAAACATTTGGCTTGTACATAGCATCTGTCACTATCACATGTTTGTAAAAATAGTGACAGAACTGTGATAATGTGACAAACTTGAGAAGATACAGCAGAGAGCAGTAGATAGCACTCTTCAAAGGCCCTTTCTTGAAGTGTGTTCTCTTCCAGAAAGATCATATCATTGATTTAAGAGCTTGTAGCTCAGAGGCCCAACATCAAGAAAATAGAGGCTAGAGAAACAGCTTCCTTGTTGTCTATTTTTGACCTAGCTGCAAAAATAACTCTGCATCGACGTGACACTGAATACTGAATGCAGCTGAGCAGCACCCTTTTTTCTGCTTCTGCACACAAACACATTCAAATTAGGCCGAGAGTCGGTTTGTTCTCTGCTTAATTTACTTTTAAACAGTGTTGTAAGGCATTTAATACATACAAATACATAAAGTGTTCTGCCTTTATAGTGTCTAGATTACACTGTATAAATTACCACACTAATCACAACAGCCTCTGCTCTGAGCTGCAGACTATTGCACAGCCACGTTGTAGTTTATCTCACACGGACCACAAAAGCGTACAAGAAGTATAATGTTGTCAAACTAATAGTGCACTAATACTGCATTCCAGCCTTTCCTGGAACAGTGAACTCTGAGTTACACAACCATGTTTGTGTTCTTTCATGCCCAATTCCAATTTATGTATTAGGTTACTGCCTACTGCTGGCTTTTCAAACCAAGCCATGCTGTAGGGCTCTTTTCATTTTAACTTATTTCTGTACAGTGTGCACATTACTGTGCAAACTGTTGAGTATTGTAGATAGACATTTCTTTGAGTTGAAGTCAGAATATTACTTTAAGCAAATATATATATATATGTGGCAAAAGAGAACATAGTGATGTTTAGAGTCCAAGGAGGCAATAAACAAGGTGATGTTGTTGTAAAACTGGTGAGACAAGAAAGAATTTGCAAGAACAAGCAAAGAAACAACAAAGAAGAAGATACATTTACAACTGACAGGGCCTTTCAAAAGCGTGCACTAACAGAGGCGGTCCTTTTTTTTAGTGTAAATTGCACTTGTCTGCCTCATTTTTTATTGCAACTTTATGGATGCCACTACCTTCAAATTCTGGCACATATTTCAATGAAGCAGAAAGGCAACAGCATACTTTGCCGTGGGGTACAAGGCGACGTGTTTTATCAGAAAGATATGTTGGGACAGCCTGGAAGGTTCAATAAAGATAGGACGGATCAACTTACTTTCCATTGAGGGCTGTGACTCCCATGGTGCTCCGCGGTGTTGACATGCTGGCCACATAGTTCCACTGTCTGGCCTGTGGGTCCCAGCGCTCCACTGTGTTGAGATAACTCCAGCCATCGTGGCCTCCCACCGCATACATGGGGCCCTCCAGCACAGCAATACCTACACAAATGGAAACAAGTGATGGATGTCTCCCAAAAGAAAAGATTTTGCAAACAAAGAGAAGAAATTGTGCAAATGAAAGCAGACAGCATCATGTAACTGTGGTCAGTTTTACTACTATAAATATTTCATTAATGAGGGCGGAAACACTTCAGATTCAGATTCAGATTTGTTTTATTGTCATTGTAACAAGTACAACGAAACATAAGGTGCAGTCCTTTCAGTTCTTGTACTTTGATTTTGTAGGATTGTGTATTTACAGTTTGTAGTACAAACACACATAACTGCAAATATCATCCTACGATATGCTCAATTATGTGTCTCACTGAGGGTGAAAAAAACAAAACTTACTTTCTTGTTCAAACTCGTTCATAAAGCTTAACCACAAACCATATGTTTTAACATATGGTGTACAAAGGAAAACAAACAAAGAAAAGGAGTTAAATGATTATAAATCATTTCCAAATGATTCAAAAATGATTCTTCAGTTCCTGGAGAGTGCCGAGGCAATGCTATACTTCTCGTTTTAGAACTGAGCAGAGTGACTCATCCAGCTGACCAAATCTATTCAGAAAACAGGAAGACTGCAAAACTGCATTGTTATTCTCCATTCCCAAGTCACAGAGGAAAGCGGTTTCACCAGCAACAATGACAAGAGGATGTTTAAACACAATGGATTTTCATATTACGACCTCTTTTCCTTTGGTGAGAGTTCAATTATTTTCGAGGGAACATGAGGGCAAGACCGAATTCAGAGAACTTTGAATGACATAAACACCATCAGACTGAAACCATCCTTGTACTGAAGCTCTTTTTATCACTCACTGGTGGTTTGGGAATTTAAAAAAAAAAAGAAAAAAGCATGCTTTTTTTTTTTCTTGTCTTTACCCCTAATGCACACAGCAGGAAGCGGCCATGTGGGGATGTTGGCAGACTCCAAGTTCAAACATATTCAGATTAAAAATATGCACACGATAAGCAAAGCAGCAAGAGATATTTTGCTACAGAAAAGATCAAACAGAACATAGATAATCTGTACAGTTGGATCTCCTGGGCTCGCTGATACCTCCGACCACACTGGGTGAGTGAGTTGAATGCTTTGACAAGATCCCCCTGTTCTGTTACCCAGACCTGTTTCAACTGTGAATCAAAACGCTTCTGATATGAGATTTATTGGGCAGGGAAGGGTAAGGAAGAGCAGGACCAGCACAGCTTGCCAAGCTTTGATAGGGGAATGGGAAAATATCAAAGGTCTATGTCAAAGAACTTCTTCTATTTTTTTTTTTTTACAACATACCAGTTGTGACCCTTCTGAGCGTGTCTCCTGCAATTTTTGGTGTTTCATAACACCAGGTTGTCCGATTGAGCTAAAACCTCAAACCTCGAAGAGAACCGTGTTTCATTTCCCTCTGAATATATAATGTTACGGTTGAAAGGATTTGAACCTTAACATTATTTTTAAAATACACATAACATCCTACCTCTGAGAATAGTAATTTTCTTCATGACATATGGAGGTGAAAATAGTTGTTGATGAAAGAGTTTTGAAATTAACAGGGCTACACTTAGAGACAGACAACCAAGCACACTCACATTCACTCCTATGGACAATTTAGAATCACCAATTAACCTCAACATCTTTTTGGACTGTGGGAGGAAGCTGGAGAACCCGGAGAGAACCCACACTGCACAGGGAGAACATGCAAACTCCACACAGAAAGATCCCAAGTGTCCTCACTGGGACGCGAACCAGCGACCTTCTAGCTGCGAGGCAATAGTGCTAACCACCGAGCCACCAAGACCTAATTAAACAATGATTTAATTAATTTACCAAGCAAACCATTTCCTGCTTCCACTTCCTTTTGTGTGAGGATTTGATGATTTCATTTGAAAAAAATATATATATATATTAATTCCATTGTTGCAAATTTTCAGAAAACTTTTTTGTTGTTGTTGTTTGCCTGAAATAATATCAGTCGAACTGAAGCTGAGTGGATCTGACTCAGTAGAAATGACATGACAAAAACAGAGGTCGCCTAAGTTTGATTGATATTGTCTCAGGTAGACAATAGAAAAGTGTGTTTTCTGAAGGTTTGTGAAGATGGAGTCATCTGTTTTTGCAAATACACTCTTCATTTGTTAATAAAGGAATGAAGCCGCAGACAAACCAATGATGACAATATTCATGAGTCGCAGTCCTACTTGACTGTCCTGGAGAAAGTACATTTGTTGGGTTTTTTGTTTTGTTTTGTTTTGTTTTTTTGTCTGAAGTCTGAAAAGGGACAAGCTATTTGGAATGGCAGCATGGCCTCTGTGTCATTTACTGGCCTAAACAAAGTAATGTCTTATTAGTTGAAGAGTGTATTTTTTAAAACAGAGTAAATACAAACACTCACCAAGTCCATGTCTGTGTGTGGACATTGGGGGCATAGTGGACCACACTTTGCTGATGGGATTATAACACTCCACCATGTTGGACGTCTTGAGGCCGTCTCTCCCTCCGACCACGTACAGCTTGTTGTCGATCACGGCCACGCCGAACTGCAGCCGGCGTCCGTTCATGACTCCAACCTGGACCCACGTGTTCGTCCGCAGGTCGTACTTCTCTATGGTGGTAGAGCCTAAAAAAAAAAAAAAAAACACAGCACGTGTTACGATTTAAACAATCCGTGTTACTGTGCATTGGCAGCTTCTGTGTATAAGCTATACCTTTGGTAGCATCCATCCCTCCTACAGCATAAAGTGCACCCACAGTGGACTTTCGAGGTTTCGTTCTTGGGCTCTGAAACATGGGACGTCGTTCGGGCAGGAGATGGTACTTCATGGCCTCCATCAGCAGCTTTTGACATTCCAGATCATCAGAGAACATCTTGTTGTTTTCCAGATCTGCGAGGAGCTGCATTTTCAAGAGAAAGAATTAAAGGTATGAAGACATTTAGGTGTAGAGAAATTCAAAACATCTACAGGAGTTTATAAAAATCACCTTTGAATATATGCAATGGATGGCCTGGTGTAGATTTGAATGAAATTCGGGGAAGCTGATAAACTTACATAAGACTGTTAGAAGTGAGTATTATTAGAGTTTTGTCAGCCTAATTGTGAAACAGTGTGATTTCAGCATCTCTCTCAGTCAAAGGAATGATTGCAATCAATATCAAGTGAGGTCATTTTTATTAGAGCCATGTGCACAAAGAAATTCTCTTCTTTGAGTCGGGTAACAGGAAACACAAATAACTTAAGAACTGAGCCATTACTACAAAGGAAATTACAATATTATTTACTACAATTAAGTAAACCAGCATGTTCACAACTTCATTTTAGTCCATGTTGGTATATTTTGCTCCTTTTTGTTAAACAGACTACAGCTTAGACAACTCTACGGTGTTGAAACTTGGGACTGAATGTCCAATTTCATATAACATTGAAACTACACTGAAGCTTGAACAAGTTGCTTTTCAAAAAAGGTTGTTTATTATGTGGTTTTATGGAATATTCCACCAAACATTTCATTTTCATGAATCAAAGTTTTGTATTTATTTATTGCTTTGCCTGCAAGTAATGTCGGCAGCACCGCTCTGCTCATTTAAAAAAAAAAAAAAACAGTACCAGTTTTGACAAAAACGATGATTCATTTCTGTTGTTGATTTGCCTCACAGCAAGCAACATCTCCCAAGCCAATGTATGAAATGACTTATGTATTAGACCATTTTTCCCTCATATTTTTCATTCATGAAAACATTTGCTGCGGCTTTTCTTCTTCTTTTTTTTTTAACAAAAAACACTGTTATTTTTCCTGCATCTATTGAGTAGAAAATAAATATAAAATTTGCATGAGCATAATTAGCTTTGGAAAGCAATTTGTCAGGGAAAATAAAACGTTTTCATCCTTTGTGTTAGCTAAAGAATGCTTATCTGTTTGATGTTATGTAAATTTGGATGACACAGCTGTTAACAATGCTTCATTGTGGGAAAAGCAGTATTTTTATAATGTTAGCTCCAGTGTTTCAAACTCCATCCATCCATTATCTATATACCACTTAATCCTCACTAGGGTCGTGGGGGTGCTGGAGCCTATCCCAGCCGACTTAGGGCGAAGGCAGGGTTCGCCAGTCTATCGCAGGGCTACATTTAAAGACAGACAACCAAGCACACTCACATTCACACCCACGGACAATTTAGAATCACTAATTAACCTCAACATGTTTTTGGACCTTGTGGGAGGACCTGGTGACCGGCGACCTTCTTGCTGCAAGGCAACAGTGCTAACCAACTGCGCCACCTTGCAGCCTGCTGTGTTTCAAACTGTGTAACTAAAATAGAAGCACACTATACCGGCGCAAAAATTCTATATAGAGAGTGCATGTACTGTATATACCTTTAAAGAAGGGACAATGGGTTATAAAACCGATAGATTACACCCAGAACCAAAGATCAAAATCACACCTTTTGTTGAAAGGGAGAGGACAGAAAGTCTTGTGATATTTAAGTCATCAATTACAAACTTAAGTAAAGAGTGCTATATCCTCATAATACTTTTTCTCCGCTTTCTTACCTGTGGAGGAAGAAGAGGCAGGCGGATGTAAGACAGAAGCACCCCGAGGTCCTGTTGTCGATGCTGGACATCATATCTCACCCACATCATCAAAGCCTGAAAGATCGTCTCTTCATCGGGAACGTTGATGTCATCGCTGGAGAGCAGCTTAACAATCTCAGCCGTGGGGAGCAGCAGGAACTCCTGGTTCTGAATGACCTCTAGGAAGTGTTCCTGGAACGCAGAGGGACACGGAGGAGACAGATAATCATCAGTTATTAGCCGAGAAGTGAGTTTGGTGCAGCATTTTGTGCGTTTGTGTGTTCATGTGAGTGTGTGTGTGTGTGTGTGTGTTTCTACACCTAAGAACACCAAGTGGTGCAAGGACAGAAAGATGAAGAAAAATGAACGTGAGGAGATAGTGCCAGTTTGAAATTCTCTATCTTATAATAAACCACGGAGGAATTGTCTCCATTTCTCATCAGTTTTAAACGAACAGCTGAAACTGTCATCTGTTTCACTTATCTCATTAAATAAGTTCATCCACACAACAACAGATGACTAATCAATCTGGCATAAAACATTCCCCCCCAAAAAAGCCTCTTGATAAGCTTATACAGCATTTTTCTTTTTTTTTCCTGCTGATCATACATGATACCATAAAGCCTCTGTAAGCCTTTTAATGAGTAACAATAAGGCCCTGCAAACCAGCAGTAAAATCCCACCAATGCAGTGTTCAGCTCTAAGTTTTGTGGAAGCTTTTTTTCTGTTGCCTTCCCAAAGATTAATCTTCCATTTGTTGGCCAGAAGCCCAGGCAATATTACAGCACTGCATGGCTACCTCTTCAAGGTCTTTGTCTCTGGGCAGTTCCATTAGAGATGATATATAAAAACGCTCTCCCTCAGCTATGCATCTCTAGTATGTCCAACATTTCAACACATGAAAGTCATATGGAGAGCTCTTTGGCTGTGATCCCACCCTGTTTACTCTTTAAACGCAGCACCCAAGCATTAATTATTAAGCTGCCACCGGAACTTCGACAAATCAAGTGCTCACTGTAGAGTGGATGCTCAACAATTACAAAAAACAAACTCGCTATTGATCATCAACTTGCAACAAATTACAGTGTCTTGGTCCAATCTATTATGAGAGCAGGTTTTAAGAGCTTAACACAGAGAGCCTTAATTAAATGAGGGACCACTATTGATCTTTTGGTGGTGAAGCTAAGGATGAAATTCCAACCAAGTCTTTGACATTGCTTTAGTCCAATTATTTGTAATTACCAGTCCCGAACAGCTGACAGCAAAACTGAATGCTAAACAACTTTGTTTCATAACCATTTAAAAGGACGTGTTTTTTTCGACTGCCGGCAGACTCATTGGTGAGTAAACTGCTTGGAAAACAAGATCAGCGGGAGAGGATACTAATTGATTTAACTGCTGCAAAAGAGTAATTGTGTAATACCAGTGTTTTTTTGAGGAGGAAGAACACTGACGCTTAATCGGAGAGAGGCTGGGAGAATTACCCTCCAAGAACTTTTGATTACCATGTAATTTGCGACAGAGTCTGGCAAAAACAGACAGATATGTATTGTTATTTTCTAAAATTGGCATTGATTTAAGCTGCAACGTCTAGACTCTCAAGCGTTTTTCTGAGACGTGTAAATGAGATATAGTTCTGTTGCTGAAAAGAAACAATGTCATCCCAAACAATAAAGTATCACATTTGTATGTGCTGTCACGTAAAAAAGGGCGACTCTTTCACAAAGGAAGAGAATGTCAGAAGCGGATCTTGGCTGCCAAACTCAACTAGGAAAACCAAGCTTATCAAAACACAACTCTGTCCACTTAGAACGCAGAGGATGGTCTTCCAGGAAGCCCACAGCCCTCCCTGCTCATTACTGAAGTGATTGAACAGGAAGTTGGCCCTCTTGTGCAGTTTGATGATTAGATTAACCTCCTGGTCTTGGATGGGGACTATGTAAACAGACTGAGCAGATGTCCTTTAGGAGATAACGCCTGCCTGCCGCTGTCACTTGTGCATGACCAGCAAGAAATTATCTGATGGATACGTGCATGAATCTTAATCTGGTGCAAATATTCTCGCAGAAATGCATAGCGCTTGCACGCCTGGCAGTGCACTAATCAATGTGCAGCAATGTGGTATCTCTAACTGACAGCTCATGACCAAATTACATAAAGTTAATGCATGAAACTACTTGATTTCTATTCCAATGTGCACATCACCCATGTATCTGCAGAAATCCCAGGATATGAATAACCAAGACTCCAATATGTCGGGGTTTTTTTGTTGTTTTTTTTTACAGCTTATGGCAGCTTATTCAAAATGAACTAGGCCTTAAACAGTCACAAATATCATATACAGCACACCCAGCTAGGCCATTATTGAGACTGTGTTTACTGGCTGGGTTCACAAAACAATGGGTATAATCAGAGTTGATGAAAGGAAAATAAATCCAGATAAGTGCTAAAAAAATAAAAGAATTAGTCAGTTCTGCTGGTACCTTAAATTGTATGGAGCAGCGTTCATTTGACCCACGATTAAATGACTTCATATGAACGCACATATATTAATTAAACATATTTTTTTACTTTCAATCTTGCATTGTTATAGTTGCACATTCATGCAATAAGGAGTGCATTCTCTTTTAATAGTTCATCTGGTTTTGTTTTCTGTCCTACCATGGTGTAGTTATGAGCCACGTTGAGCAGATCCACGCAGCCCTGGGCGTCTGCAAAGGAGCGTATTCCCAGGCAATTGGAGGGATGAAGCTGCTTCATGAGGAAGTTACAGCAAACCTGGATGACTTGTGAAAGCTGGAGGAGGCAAGCTGCCGCCAATAAACTCTCAATGGTTTCCTCTTTCAGCTCAAGGACACCTACAATGTCAGGACAGGAAAAATACTATGTTTATGTCATGACTGAATGTAGCTGCAACACATAAAACAGTGGTGGTAGAAAGGATTGTAATCAACATTTTAATTAAGTATATGGCCCTTAAATTAAAGCATTAATGGTAAAAAAAAATACTTAAAATGAAGAACACTTGGTATTCTGGGTGTTAAATAACATGCAGCATTAACCCTTAAGCTCTTTTTTTAATGTACTTTTAAAAGCCTGCCAGTCATTGATATAATGTCGACATTCCTGTTTTAACACTGTGAAAGTGTTTTTTCTGATTCAAACACACAGTAAGGCAATTTGTCCAGTGACGTAAAGCAATTTCAAGCTGAAGTGCTGCCCAGTCAGTCAGCCCAGTGATGAATGGTCTTGTAAGGACCATTTTAATCATGCTGGATTTCAGGGTTCTCATAACTACTTACAAGAGCTAGTGAACATCTTTATGAGCACTCACCAGTGTAGGCAAAATGAACCAGAGATCTGAGAGCCTCTGGATCCACTCCCTCCATCTTGATCTCCTCCTGCTTCGCCTCTCTCACATCACTGGTGAACATGGCAGCAAAGTAGTCTGACACGGCACTCAGGACCAGTCTAAAGGAAAAACGCAGTGAATTAATGACTTTACTTTGCATGTCCATGGGAAATCAATATAAAGATGATTTTAAGAGATTAGTGAATCAATCCCAAGACTGTGTTTCATGTCCTCGAGTGTAGCTTTGCTTTATGACAAAGGACACGTCTCCACAGTATATACTCTGGTATCGCGCTGTACTGTCGGTGGTCAGCGTAATAATTTCATGTAGTGCCATTTCTAACAGTGATTTATGCTGCTTGTGTGCTTTTACACCAGGCTAGGTCACTGTGAGAATTGTTATCACACCCCAACCCCCACCCCATGCCGTATGATTCCACTTTGTCGGAGTATGATGAATGATTTTATCCAACATACTTCATGTTGATAATAGCTACAATGGCCAGACTTCTAATTATGTTAACTCATTTGTCTAGCTCGCATAACAAACTGGCTGATTTATGAAGGAAAGGAAAGATCATGTGGCTTTTGCAAAGAATATGCGACTCAGTGAATTAATGCAACAGTCCTTAATTCCACAGTCTTGTGGTTTCTAATATTTAGAATCATAGTAATTTATTATTTCTCTACCCTGCTCTACATGCTTAGAATATAGAATCCTTAGAACATAAATAGAAATATAAAGCCACAATGAAAAAGCACACAGTTCACCCAACTAGGTTACTAGGATGGTTGTTTTTTTTTCTGTCTCTGCGGCTCATTCTTTCAGTTTCATGAGTCTATCTGGATCAACGAACAAAATGCACCAGTGGAGAGAGGTACAAGCAGATGCGCTCGATGAACACAACGGCTCTCGGGGATGTCACGTGAAGTGTTCAATTCATCCATTCAACCGATGCTCAGTTATTGACAGTGGATCACAGTGCTCTTCCATGTATCAAATGTAATGTGGAAATGAAGATGGGCAGAGATGTAATTAGAGCACAGCAGGCTACACACTTAGATGCAAACCAGTGAACATGCTGTTTGCATACTTTTCTTGTTCACTGTCACATGAGGGAAAAAAACAAAAATAAAATCTTGCCTCGCGTTTCAAAGATGATTCGATTATTCCCCACATGGATCAAACTGAAAAGATTTGTTGCAAACAGTGGTCCAGACCAAAAGCTTGAATGTCTCTATCGTCAACCTAATGAAGTGCATCCAGATGAGCGTCTTTACCTCTAATCTAAGCAGATGTGGGTGTAATTAATGAAACCAAAGCAGACACAAGCACAAATACCAACCTGTGAGCTGGTATCTTGTGATCCCCTGCTATCAAGAGGACATCACACAGCTGCTTATGCTGGAGGTAGGTCTCCATTTTACGGAACGTCTGTTCTGCATGATTTGTGGCCTGGAAAAACTCATCAGAGGAGTTGGTGTTCATTCTGGAGAAGGTGCTCAGAGCCAACCTGTGGGAGACAAGAAAGAAGGGAGGGGAGAGTAAAGAGACGTGGAGTGATTTAAAATGACGAATGCTAGTAGTTAACCTTGACCAAAGAGTCTTTACAGTCTACACGTTTAATATACATTACAAAATAACATTTTGACATTGCATCTGGACCCATTTGTCCCGACTAGAAGATGGCAAGTAATAAAAAACTCAGAACTACGTTAGGTTTGTTGTATTAAGATTGGCCTTCACTATGCAATTTAGACAATAAAATAAAATGAAATAAAACAAAATAAGAATAACCTAAGCAAGAAGGGAGGGAGAGAGAGAAATGTGGGTGATTTAAAAAAAAATATGCAAGAAATTAACATTGACTGTATAACTGTAGAAGCTCGACATTCTGCACTTTTATTATACATAATAAAAACATTTTGGCATTGCATCTGAACCCATTTGCCCCTGACAGAAACAGAATATGGCAAGTCGTGTCTTTTAAATCAGAAACTCAAACAACTACATCAGATTTGTTACATTAGGATCGCCTTTCACGATGCATTCTAGACAATAACAATAAAAACAAATAAATAAACAGTAAACTACGAGCAACAACTTTCATTGAAGAAGCATAGATTGTTACAGCATGAGACATCAGAGGTGAAATTAAAAAGGAATTTCTAATCCAGAAACACAAATTAATTACGCAAATTAATTATCTTCTCTCACTTTTTACTCTTCCTGTCCACAAAAAAAAAAAAAAAAAGAAATTAAATAGCTGTGCACAGGAAGATAAGCAACAAATTACAGAGGACACAAAAGAGCTTATTTGGACACATGGCACTCCTGAATCTTCTTTTCCCTGCGGTGCATCTGCATCTTTCTTGCCACTCTAAGCTGAAATTAAAACTGTTATGGACTAAACTCCATACATAAGTGGATAACTAAGCGCTGCACTCCAATGGGACGAGCCAGCGCCACAATCTATGCAACAGCTTCCCAGGCAGAATGTGTGCGCATGCCTTTTTGTCTGTTCCTGTGTGCATCTGCATATCTGCGTGTCCATGTGTGTTTCTCCAAAAAACAGGGACTTAACAAGTGAACCAGCCTGTTCCTCGCAGCATTGTGGCGAGGCTGAGTCCTCGTCCCCGCAGGCTGCTAGATTACATGCTGTTTTACAGGCATCCCAGTAATCCCTCACACTCATGGCAAATAATGCAGCCCAGTCACTTTGGTGTCCTTCACAGAGAAAGTCCACTCATTGACATTTAGGGTTGTTTGTTATGCTACATAAACACCCAAGCTGTCTCTCCGAGGGAATTTACTGTCATCTCATGGTCCTTCTGCTGTGTAAAGGCTGATAGCGCTCAAGAAAAACATGTTACTGCTATTTAAAGCAACTTTACGTCCCTGCTCATTACTACTCATACGCGGATACGAGAGCTGCGTAAACTAGTAAAGTTACAGATTTGTCAATAGAAATGAACTGGAAAGCCTGTAATGCTTGGCAGCGTAATGTATTGGCACGTGCTGAGATTGATATTGCAGGAAATATGGAGGGGGCGGTGGCTCTTATTGATGTCCTAATTAACACACTATTATAAAGTTTTTAGCCGAGCGTGTAAGTTTCTCCTCTTTGATTACCAAAAGCAACAACATTTCGCCTCCGGGAATTGTTTATATTGCACTCCGGTCACTGCAGTATCCTATAGTCTAATCTTTATTGGGAGACTTTATGCTAAATGCAAGAGTAATTTATTACCCTGTCACGATATTCCCCACTGACTCTGGAGTCTTGGAGAGGAACACCAAACAAGACTGAATAAGCAATTGGGCCATAAAACTGAGATGCATTGCCTTTGTATTGGCTCCAAGGCATGCTGTAAGGATTTTTCATGCCTACCAATCTCTCCGACACTAATTGCTTTGGTATCACATTCTAGGGAGCAGTAAATTTCCTCTGAGGTGTATATTTCGCTTCCAGTAGTGGGTTGGATCATCAGAGGTATAGCCCAATTTTATTGAGGCACTAAAACCCCAGAACACCTTGCTGGAGAGAAACTGCTGTAGGGACAATGCTGTGCATCACATATTACCAAGCAATTCTGCAGAAAGTAACAAAGTAAGAGAGCATATAGATTTCTTTTGTGGTGCACAAACTAAAACACACTGTCAGGCTTTCTACTTGCATCCTCACAACAACGAGCAGGTAAATTAGTCTACAAAATTGAATAAGGTAAACCAGAACAGAATAAAATAGCAGGGAAGACTCTACTTTATTTACCATCACACCTCATCCTCCAGCAGATTTCCTTGTGCCAGTACATATCACCTGAAGTCTTGTCATTTGCTCTTCACACCTTCTCACAGCTATCACACCATAATGTGACTAATTGCGTCTAAGGCACTACATATTCCAAAAAAGAAAAAGAAAAAAAAAAAGTGTTATGCAGGTGAAGCAGGAGCTATGCAGAATTTTACAGTTTTGTCAAGGCTAGGAGTCTGTATAAAGGATGTGCTATGGAAACTCCATATGCTATTTTTGCCGACCACACACAGACAAATGCAGCACCAATACATAGAAAAGACGTTCATAAATAATAAAACAGGGTAGGTATTTAAATCATCGTGTTAAATAGATGAATGGTTAGAGGGCTCAAGATGTTCCTACGTCAGCCCAGATTAGGCTCTGGCTGCAAAGGTTATGAGTCAGACGTGTTGCTCAGAATCTCAGTCTTATTCCAACTAGTGTCAACTCCTTCCGACTACAAGAGGGAAAGTCGTGCCTGCCTGGGCCAAATGGGAAATGCATCTTTCAAAATGGATTATTACAGCCATTTTCCCCAGAACTCCGCTGAGCTGCACGGGTTAGCTTGAGAATCGAAAAACTACAAAGCCTTGTACAGCATGTGCCAAGTCTATATATTCCATAAGATCTTTACGCCTTCCGTGTTTTGACAGTCAGTATGCTGCCATTGGGCTTTGTGCTGAGAGAAATATACACACTGACTGTAATAACTTGATCCAGACAGTGAGACTGAGACGATAATTCTGCGCAGAATTAGATTTTCCTCTCAGCACTTTGTATTTCACTGAGGCTCACTAAAGATATTTTTCCTCTGTTGCCACTGTTATGCTGGCCACATCTGCTTAATACTGATAATGATGGTGGCTGCATACTACATGTATGTCCTCTGAAATTTGTTCAAAATGTAGTCCCTTGATGTTAAAGAATGTCATGGATAATTGCCACAGCTCATACCAGAAATGTCATAAGGCCTCCTTATAGCATTTTTACATTGACCCTGACAGCTCAGCGCATAGCAACCCACAAAACCACACGAAACACACGTAAAATAACCAAACCAACAACCTCACCAGTCTGACAACCTGTGCACCGCTCAGAAGAAAATGCATTAAAGTGAAGCAAACACAACTAATTACAGAAGTGCAGAAAATACAGTAAAAAAAACAACCAAATCTGCTGCAAAATACACAGTGTGTTTCAGGTTAGGGGAAGGGTCTATAGGGAATGCATTATGGCGATGAATGTCCTCACAGAGACAGAGAGACACACGTTGGGGGTTGTGGCCGTCCTGAAAGTGAAGAATGTGCAGATCTTAGCAGAAAGCTTCTCGCTGCTTTGCTGATGGCAGGTTAACTTGCATAGTGTATGAGGCTGTCATCACTGTTGGATTGTCCATAATTTATTTACATCGAATGTTAGTGGGTAAACAAATTAATCTGCAGCAATACAGTGTAGGTGGTCAGGCGTACAGATATTTATAGGCATTTACAGCTTATGTGCATTTTGGTGACTTAAAAGTCTTAATATTTTACTGTTAATTGAGGCGACTTTAAAAGCGATTGAATTATGTCGCCATTAATTTAACATTTTCCCAAGACCTTAAAGTGTGCGTGTAAACCAGGATAATAAAACAGGATAAATTACTGCACTTTTCTCATTTGTGTAAACTGTCATATTTTCACTTTGATCACAGTTGTTCATGCTTCCTGCCTCAGTGCCGTTGCTGAATGCTTATGCCTCAGGACATTGTTGAACTAAGCCATGGCCTCTACTAATAGTCAGAGTCACAGAAAGTGTGTCTGGATAATTTAGTTTGAAATAGGTGCATTTGGAAGAGAGGAAAACAAAACACTGATGCATATTTGAACTTGTTTTAGGCTACATGTTTCTTCCTTGTTCAAGCAAGATTTTCAAATAAAAATTCTGGCTTCATCTTCAGTTTCCATCCGAGTCACAGAATGTTGATTTGGCAAAAAATTTAAGAACAATGTTCACAATTTATTATCTGCGATCCCAAAATCTTCTAAGGCCAGGGGGTGTCGCTGTGAGATTAAAGCAGATATACTGTGTTTTGCAATTTACAGTATCTTAAAGACGCATTCACTGGATGTGTCACACAGAGACCCTATAAGCCCTGCGGTGTTATGGGGCATTCAACAAATATCTGAATTACTGCTGTTGACAGGGGGAGAGGTGGTGGTATTTCTTTTCCAAGGCGGTGGAGAGGGAATTGAGATATCATTCAAACTAACAGCCCGCTGACTCAAGCCTCTGTTAGTGTTTATGTGGGAGAGGTCAGGGTTTCCATTCCATTCGGGTTAACTTCTGTCATATATTCTCTGTCAACGATGGGGAGAGGTTATTTGGATGAGAGTCATGAGGACAGAACAAATATACTGTAGATATGTCGCGGCATTAGGAGCGAGGCTGGGAGACAACAAGGTATTACGCCCTACTTCACTACATTTGATTTAACAACTCAGCAGATATGTGGCAGTCACTTGAGATGAGAGAGAGTTAACTAAATTCAGGAGAAAGCCAACAGCATGAGAATAATTACAACAGCGCAGACCACAGCATAAATGCATAAATGAGTCTTTTTCTACCTATCTTCAATATTCATGGTACCCAAGCAGATATAGTATGAGTTACAACACTCAATTGCAAATAACTACATCGCATACAGTATCTATATTTATATTTTCAACATCTTTCTACCAGGGGCACTTATGTGATCATATATTATCAAACATTAAATCTCCAACTCAAGCAGATTCCTAAAGGTATACTGTTACTGTATTATTTGTTCTGCATGTCCTCATACCTAAACGACAGAATAAGCCAACTGCCATTTGACTTCCAAAGCCACACATATGAATGTTACTGTTATTTTTACACATTATTTTTAGACAACTAAGCGTCGTGATCAGGTGTAGGGAACCAAATCTCATGGTTGCGTTTAGGAACACACTGTTGTTTGGACTAAAGAAGACTCTTTCAAATCTGCAGGAAGATTTTTTTTTTTAGTAACCAGGGTCACAAGTCCCATCCCATCCTAAAGGAGCAACAGTGATGAAACAACTGTCTTTCGGAAAACTTTAGAGATTTTAGATGCACTTATTAACACAACCGCAAGAGGTCACGAATGTAAACATCAGTCGCTATGTGGTTTTTCCAATGGGGTCAGTCTGTTTATTGTAGTAAAGGTACGACCACAAGAGCTGAGTTATTTTCATTTACTTTGCAGTTTGACAACAATCTGAAATGTTAATGAGGAACCAAATCAATGACAAAAAAATGGAAGAAACTGATGGAATGGATTTCTTGTGAGACACTGAAACTAATCACTGAGCAGCATTTGCCACAAAATGACTGGCACATATTTTCCAACTACAGAGGAACGGCTAAAACTTTTGTATTTTTCACAGCCAGCAGAACTCATTCCGAGATTCAGCCTGAGGGATTGTGACAAATTATGTGTCAGGGATTTATGATGTGAGACGTAATAAGGCCACCCAGCTGGTGGAGTAAATGAATGTGCATATCTCAGTGACATCCACACATCTGCTTAGCCGCAGATGAACATGCGAGCCATGATGTGTCACTGGTCTAACTCACCAGGCTACAATATACATCTACAGATGCAATGATTGTCATAAAGTCATTGCCAGCAATTACACTTTGATTGCATTTCCATTAAGCACAACCTTGATTGAAAAGGGGCATTGTGCTACATACAGCTCGGATTTCCCCGATAACTGCCAACATTGACGTCATTTTGTTGCCTTTCCTGCAGCTTCCTGTGCTGAACGATCAGAAGACACAATTACAATTGCAATTTAATAAAAATGTAAAACAGTTGCTGACTGGGTAAATATTAGAGAGGAATGGTTGTAAAAGCCTGTCAAAGTTATTAATAATACACAGCCATTCAGAGTAAAATATTTATTTTCTGTGTACATTGTTAACAGTTTGAGTGGGATAAAGAATCATTAAAAGTAACTTTTTATAACCTCTGATTATTCGCTCCAATCAAAAGCTGAACCAAGGACAGATTTCATGATCCAACAGAGCAGAACCATTTTAATATTTCAGTATCATTGTCAAAATATGATGGCTATTCCATATTTTACATGGCCAGCATGAACTCAAGGTCCCTGAGAGCCAGAGTGTTACACAATTTTACTGTGAGGCACATCTTTTATGCATGCACTTTTCACACACAGAGACTCCAAAACATGAACATCTGCCAATTATGCCAACACGAAGAGCAGAACGTCGAGTTGATTCCAAAACTGTATCTTAACTCAGAATAATTCATGTTCTGTTCAGGGAACCCAACCATCCACTGCCCGTGGCATTCATTTAATCCACATTGACACATTTTTGGCTGTAGGTAGAGAATATATATTTAAAATTACCAGTTTAATCACATAGGGTTCTACAAGGGACAGGTTTACTTCCATTGTTCATTTCATCAGCAGGTGCACAGAACAAAAGCACACAGGAATCAGCAAAGCTTAAGGACCAATCACAGTTGAATGTCACAGACAAGATAAAAGGAGACTTGGTCTTTTCATCCTTGATGTGAGGTGCTTTTAGTGTTCTGCCAGATTGCACACACACACAAACACGCCAGTACACACACACACACACACACACACACACAGCCCTAACCTGTTTACTTCCTGGAAGAAGATGTAGGATCACAAGGAAGACAGGGGGAGAAATGCACCATGGAAAGATGGAGGGTTGGATTTATATAGCTGGAAAAGTCATTTGTGAGAGTTTGGCATTAGGATTTGTAAAAAGATTTTGGTAGAAAATAAATCAAATCCTGTGCCAGCCACTTGCTATGATAGCTTTTAGCTCCTAAAGTGGATGTAGTTGTGCCTGGCAGTCTAGATAATTCATGTGATTGCACTGCTCCCTCTTTTTATAGGTCCAGTATGTGTTACATGATGTAATGGCTCTTTCCCGCTATCCACTTTTTAACTCTACTTCTTCTCTGGAAGAATGCATTAGTGTGCCATGTAAAAACTAAATACTCTGAGGAATCAGGAAAAGGCACACTGTACACATGATCTGAACCACAACACAGACAGGGAGCAGAAAAATCCTTGGCTTTCGGTTCACTGAATAATTAAAGGGATGTTTTATTGGCTTATCCTGCCTGACATGCTGTGGACAATGAGAGTGAGCTGTCCCCAGGTGAGCCTTGGTGGCAGCTGACTGGCCTGAGTAAAGTGGAAAATGATAGCTGCGCACATAATCTAATCTTAGCTTAATTAAAGGATCTGCATGCAAGATAGCAGTGCAGATATTAAAGGTAAATATACTGGTTAGATGTATTGAGTCCCAGAAAAGATAAAGGCATTTCACATATGGTTGTTGATTGCTAAGCAAGAAGTGTTTATTGTCTAAAGCAGGGCTATGCTCATCTGTCCTCATCACAACAAAACACTATTCCTGTTAAATCCTGGGTTGCTACCTCAGGCAGCTATATTTTCCCCCAAAAAACCTGCATTCCCAAAATAGCATCCCATAGTGTAGTCACTGCTAATTGAGCATATAATGAAAAGTGACTAATGCATCAAGAGAGCCCCTGTCTCCTAAGTTTCTGACACCTATTAACAGTCATACCTCTCTCTGGCCTCCACCTCTGCAGGTTCCTCTGTGCTGCTCTTCACATCTTCTTGGCCAGCGTTTGTCTCCTCCTTCCTTGTGGTGCTGGGAGAGGAGCTGCTCTTTGAAGATTCCTCGTTGACCTGGAGACCTTGGATGGTGTTCTGCTGATGATGCCATGATTGATGCCCCGCTCTGACATAGACAGGTGTGGGCCCTGGCGTTGGTGCCAAGATGCTGTGGACCGGACTGTTGGTCTTTCGTAGTCCTCCGACGCCTCTTTCCCGCGAGTGACTCTTGAGGCGTCCCTGGACAGGTGTTCCTCTGTGGTCCAGGCCATCCTGTTGGATGTAGCCTCCCACACCGCCGCCACCGCCGCCGCCGCCACCAGCCGAACCTTGGGATGAATGGCTGAACCAGCGCCAGCGGAGTCTGAGGATCTGTTTCACATCAAATTCCTTCTTCCCCGACACAGACATCCTCCTCTGGGTTTGGAGACGAAGGCAATGGTACGTTGAGTCCCCAAAAACATGGAGAGCAGAGAAGAGAAGAGCCTTGGTTTCAGTCCTCACTGACTACAATGTGCCTCTTCTCTTCCGTTATTGTCTCATTACTATCATGACCACCCCCTCCTCCTTCTATTACTCCTCCGTTGTTCTTTTAGTGGAGATGGAAGCAGTCCTCTGCAGCTTTTGTTCCTGTGCCTGAGACTACTACCCTCCCTCCAACTCTCCCTCTCTGTCTTTCTCTCTCCCTCTCTCTCTCTCTCTCTCTCTCTCTCTCTTTCCCTCCTGTGCTGCTGCTGTTTCTGTTTGCTGCTGCTGCTGCTGCTGCTGCTGCTGCTGCTGTGCCGCTGGAGCTGAGTTAATGCACATGCATGATCCCCGCTCCCTCCCCTTCACCGCCTCTGTTTCGCTTTCTCTCTCCCCCCCTTCTGCTTGTCTCTCCTGTGCACACACACACACACACACACACACTCTCCAAGAGACAGACACATATAGTCTGAAACTAAAACGAGAAAATCTCCCAAGCCCTGCTCTGCTGCTGTTCTGTGTGTGCCTGTGCGAGTACGTGTATGTTCCTGCTTGTGTGTGTGATAACGGGGCTGCCTGCCTCTCGCTGCGAGGGGGAGGTGGGGTATCATGGAGCCAGGATGATGAGGTCACACCTTAACAAAGTAAATCACTGCTTGCTGAAGGAGGGACAGAGCAACACCGCTAACTAGTCTGTGCTGTAAGGACCGGTGGCAAGAGCTTGCAACACTTTAATGCATGTGGATAGATGCGCATGCTCAACCAGAAACAGAAAACCGGGGACACGTTAATATCTCTCTCATAAATAAGCAACACACATTCAACTCACACTGTTAAAGGCAGGAGAAATTAATTTCACACCAACACACATCTGTGCAGTCTGCCATTCTCACATCAAACAGAATCCCATGGGGGAATGTCTCAATGTAGGTAGCCATGCAGAAAAAATATTCTCCTTCAGTCACTGTCTTGAAAGCCCCCTGCAACACAAATGAAAAACTACATACTGATAAACCTTCAAGGTCAGCAAGCTGCGTCAACCACAGTCCGGGTGTCCGTTTTTAGCATTTTACGAAAAACAGATACTGCTTCTGGATAAACCTAATGCTGCACCATCATATTTGACTGAGGTACCGCTGGTAAACTCCTAATGCACAAGAGACACAAGGCTATTCCGTCAATAATATTGGATCTTGATGTTATGCTTGGTTGTCATCTAATTATCAGACAAAACAGTACCTATGGGTCAAGTGGTAATTGAAGTTTGAAATATATTGTAAACTAGAAAAAGACTATGAAATACAGCAGCCCTTATTTGGCCTGCTTGATACTGCATAACATCAGGCCAGGATTTATGGATTTCTCCAACGAAATAATTCAGTCAGTGTTAATGTTGTGCATCTTCACTCCCAATTAACACTCTTTGTTTTCATGACTTTTATTGCTACATCACAGACTTACAGCAAGCTTAACTTTTATGCCCACGAAAGATAAAAATGAAAATGCAACGCTTTGTGCATATGTTCCTAATTTCCACTTCCATAACAAAGGTAAGAGGAGAACCTTGCACTCAAACCGCTCTCAAGCCGCCTACACTGCCTCCCACGACAGGTTTGGATTTAACCAGCCATCGTGTCCATGAGTATTTTTCCTAATCATAGCTGCCCATATTACTTGCTGGGGTAGTTATGAATTTGACCCATAAATTATGTTTAAATTTCCTCACAGACTTCACATTGCCTACATTCTCTACGCATAAATAATGTATTGAAATTTGGGGATGAAGTGCACTTTTTTGTTTCCATTCACCAAACACCATTCGAGTAGTGACTAGATTTTTACAGATACAAGGATTTTTACCAGAACTACTGTTAGGTCAAGTAATAAACGCTTAAAAAATGCTCAGCTCGATGCATTATTCAGGCTAGCTCCATGGGACGAGCTACAGGAGGCTGAAAGGCTGAATGAAGTGCATGGATCATTCTTTGCTTATATTCAAGCATTTATGCTAATTCCACAAAAGAAACAGATGAGGTTCAAACAATATTTTCACCATCAAGAGGGGAAAACACTGAATTATTAATAAGCTTGCTCTGCATGTAATAATATTTTACATTGTGTTATGTTATTTGGAGGCCAAAAGGATCAGCGTGCGGCAACTGGTTTCTACGAAGGAGCAGCAGCTGCTCGATAGGTTCTTTTTTCTGTAAAGGAAGCCATGTTGGTTTTGTTGTACCTTAGACCTTCACCTTTTGACACTACCCATTTCAAAACAGAGAACATGAACATCTATAATGTCTAAATTAATTATTTCCATTTATTAAAAGAACTGAGACGTTTGGGTGTGCAGCATTTATTGACCATAAGCTTGAGTATCTTGCACACATCTTTTATCGACGTGTACTGAGTGATGGTAAACCCACTCTCATTACGGGCTGTGACAACATGCAATACATTATGTTTAACGCTACATAAAACTGTAATGTCACTAACCTAACTCTTCTGTACTACAACCAACTCTTAACTACAGGCATAAAAATGTAAATAATGATTTGTCTAAACTCAACATAATTGTCCACAAAATTATTGGCCACATCATTGGTCAGGTCAATTCTGTAGCAAAACAATTTAATTATGCAGTTTCATTTTTAGCCATTACCAACACAGCTGTTGACACATTGGTGACATACAACTCAGTGAGCCCTTCTATTCTTCTGTTTTTCTTATTACACAGATATTTTCCTCCTACATGCATTAAAAGTTGAAATCAGAAGTTTACGTACACTGTAAAAAAAAAAAAAAGAAAAAAAAGAAAAAAAACATAACACTTTTTTTTTTTCTTTTCTCATTGTATGACATTAAATGTGACTAAACTTTTCCTGTTTTGGGTCAGTTAGGATTAACAAAATTATTTCTATTTTCTAAACACCAGAATAATGAGAGAGAGAATTTTTAATGGAATTTCTTTTTATCACTTTCTTCAAAGTCAGTAGTTTACGTACACTGTATATATAAGGGGGAAAAAAAAGAAAAGACGTGTATATAAAAAAGAGATAATAACCTTTTTTATTTTTTTTTCACTGTCTGACATTAAATGTGACTAAACTTTTCCTGTTTTACGTCAGTTAGGATTACGAAAATGATTTCTCTTTGGTAACTGCGGCATCCCCCCTGCTGAAGGAGTGCTACCGCAGTTCATTTCTCCCTACTGCAATAAGACTGTACAACATCAGCTTCACTGGCTGATGTTAACCAAACGGACAAAATAAACATATGGTCATAATTCATTTTTGCACAGCAAATTTGCAAAATCTTTTTTCTTTTTCAGTGTAAATATTGCATATATAGTTTTTCATTTGACTGTATATTTTTGTCATCTTGTGTACAACCTTATTTTATTACTTAATTATTGCCTCTGACAAGGAAGTAATGATTCAGTCAGCCTTTGTCTGTTTGTTTGTTTGTTTGTTTGTTTGTTTGTTTGTTTGTTTGTTTGTTTGTTTGTTGGTTGGTTGGTTGGTTGGTTGGTTAGCAAGATAACTCGAAAAGCTAGGAACAGATTGACATGAAATTTTCATTTTTTGTTGATAATGGCACAATGAACAAATGATTAAATTAAGGTGATGTTCTGGCTTACCATCTGGTTATTTTCTCATAAAACAGTAAATGCTTCTAAGTGTCACAGTCGCGCAGAATGCTTTTGTTGCACCGTTTGTCCACTAGATGGAGCTCTGAGTCCATTCAGTTCTCAGGCCTCACCGCTGTCTTCTCTGCAGTACATGAAGAAGCTACAGCCAGGCAGCATCACAGGAGTGGGCTGAGCAGAGCTACTCACAGATAAGTTCATAAAGACGTTGTGACATTAACAATGACTCTACATGTCTCCTGGTTCATTTTAACGCTCTTTGCTATGTGTCAGGAAGACTGACGCGTGCTTCGTTGCGTCGGTGCATTGCTAACGTTGTGCTAACCTAGCTTAAGCTACTCCCAGTCTGTTTATGTTAGCAATAGCATCGCTGTAGTTATGTCAACCTAGCATAGCTGAGCTAACAGCGTAACGCCGGTGAGGAACTGCAGAAATAACGTAAGTGTAAAAAATATTTGAGAGTACAGATCGACTGTTCATCACTCCGTCAGCTTGTTGTTGATGATATTAATGTTAATTCAAATGCTAAAGGTATGTTTTGATTCCCCATGAATCTAACAGTGTAGATAAAATGAATGCAGGACTTTAACATTGGCTGGAAATCACAGTATGGTGGAAATGAGCTGCTTGGCGGAGGTCTGCCTTCTCAGAGGGCTTTTCTAGTTGTTGTTTCCTGGTACTTTTTTTTCTATATTTTTGGATGCTGCCGTGGCATGTAAATTTCCCCCAATGGAGGATCTATAAAAATAATTCTATTCTATTCTATTCTATTCTATTCTATTCTATTCTATTTATTCTATTCTATGCCAGAATAATGAGAGAGAGAATTTTTTTATTACTGTATTTAAAATCAGAAGTTTACCTACACTGAGATTATTATGCCTTCAAACTATTTGGGAAAGCCCAGATGATGATGTTGTGGCTTTGGAAGCTTCTGATAGATGAATTGACTGCATTTGAGTTAATTGGAGGCACACCTGTGGATGTATTTTATGGCACACCTCAAACACACTGCTTCCTTTTGTGACAACATGAAAAAATCTAAAGAAATCAGCCACGTTTAGTCGCATTTAATGTCAGATAGTGAGAGAAAAAAGGTTATGTGTCTTTTTATAGTGTTTATAAACTTCTGGTTTCAACTGTATTTTAATCACGATTGGCTCGATGCTCTTTTTTTTAATACAACGCATTATAAAATCAGCTTTTATAAAAGAATCTTTTATTTGAGTTGTATATGTATTATATTGTACCAAGAACATATCCAAAAAATTAATCTGAAAAATGTCAGTGAGGAATGTAGGGATGATTCCCCTAAAATCTCTCTTTGTCAGTAAAATCTCGCTCATTGAGAATCTCAACACATTTTCAAAATATTTATTGGCTTTAATGCATTATATATCAGCACATTAAAATGGATTCCTAATGAAAGCCCTCTATTGTTTCATAAAAATGAATAGGGTATACTGAGGACATGATTTACATGTCTAGAAAGTCTAGGGGCACCATGATAATAAAAACCCATTAGAGTGAGAGATGATCTAATGTATAGTAACAGGCCATCGCACTGGGTAACCTCTTTTATTCTTACAGAAGTCAAGGACACCATCTGGCTGCACACCGCATGACACATGAGATGTCAGATGTCAGACTGCCGTAGTAAACCACAAAATCATCCAACATCTGCCTCTGCAGCAAACATACCTACATGCCTAGCCAGATATGCTTTGAGTGTGTAAGACGGGTAGATGAGCTCTGCTTAAATGCCTTAAAATACCTTTGGTAGTTTTATAAATCATATGTCTTACTTGAAGGACATGTTGTAAATCAATAAAAAGTCAAATCTCATATAAAGATCCTACAAAATTCTTGCCTTGCAATGGTTGTCAGACATCCAGTAATATCATCTGCAATCTGATTTTCAAGAGACGTTATACGTATGTTTATTTTACATTTTACTCACAGGCTTACACTTTGGATTAGGTGTGGGATACATAAAACATAAATGGGATCTTCTTCCATCCCCAGCTACAACTGCACGAGCCCTGCATGAATATCAACTAAATGCTTATTGGAGAAGATGAAAAGAATACATGTCAAATTTTATGCTTTGTTGGACTGGAACTAAAGATCAGCATATAAAATGCAATAAAATACAAATAGACCAACTAACATGTGTTCCCATTTACCAGCACCTCCAGAGCACTCGAGTGTGTACGCTCATACACAGCGACTTGACATTTGGGTTCAAGATTTAAAAAAAAAAAAAAACTTAAGCCTTTAAATTGAAGATTGTCTACTTCTATTACACCCTCAGTCTGGTGTGTGTTGGTGTAGCCTTTCACTCACTACTGAAATCAGAAAGGACAAGAGCAAAAAATCATGAGACAATTATACTCAGTGTGTAGTGGAGTTTCTGAATGAATACTGTTTTAGACACATTAGCTCAGGACCAAATACATACAGAGTGCACAGCCAGAATGCATAATGTCGTAGAAAATAAAGGCATACCTAATAATAGTACTCATCAAATTAAAATATCTTTCTGAAAACATCTTCATTTGTTAAACGCAATAATAAATGTTAATTTTCAACAAAAACTTGTAAACAATCAGTATATTTAGAAATATTTCTTCTTACCTGAGAGACCAATTATACGTTTTACTCCTCAGCACTCAAATGGTGGAATTATCTTCTAGAACGAATGACCAACAGAGACTATTTGCCTGACTGTCCCAACTGTTTTTTCTCCAGTGTCTCTCTTTCACTACAGAAATGTTTTCTTCTCCAGAAAGGAAAGGGGCACTTTCCTCTTTTAAAGGAAACTCCTGATAATTTCCTTCCTCTGCACTGCAACAACAATTGCATTCAAGCAACCAGGAACACGGGGATCACATCCTGTGTTTGAGGCAAAATACTGCTTTCACAAAGCCTTGCCCTACAAACCATGTTTCTTTAACACTAGTGTAAATGAAATCTGTGGTGTGACCAAGACTTCTAACTGCTGCCTGTTAAAACCATTACTACAGAAACTGCATAGATTTGCAATATAGGTGAAGTGCTTATAATGTCAGATACTGTAAATAGTTATATATAATAACCAATCAAAGCGTTTACAGCTGCATGTGATTATGTTCATGAATTTGTGGATATGAAAGAATACAGTGCAGAATTAATCACAAAAAAAGTCTGTCAAAAGAGTTTTTTAAGACTATTCATCACATTTTTGTAACAGTTGTGATGTATTATAACTTAGCCACTGGATGGCGTACTTAATTTGGAAGGCCCATCTCAATGTACTCCATCTTTTTCATAGAGGTTGCAGAGCAACGATTTAGCAGCGAGAAGCAGGCATTTCGATGAGTCATAAAAGATTTTTTTATTTTGACACATTTTCCTCTCTGTACTGACAATCCCACATTTGAGCCAGATTTGAGGTATGTTGTAGACAATGTTAACAGTATGGTAATTTTTTAATAGTAAAGTCCTGTGAATGAATTCTCTTTCAACAATGCCAATAAGCAGCTACATAAAAAGTTTTCTCCTTATATCCAATCTGTGTAACACAATACACACAGTAAACTGTCACTGTCTATCACACCACATAACTGTCATTCATAACTCAATGGCTGCTCATGTAGTGTGAAAATGACTAACTTATTTGCTTTTGTGTATTTTTTTTAATGCAATGTTGAACATTTGCCAGCACTAACTACCCTGTTGTCAGTTACCTTTGTAACAAATTTATTGCAAAACAAGTTCCTACTGGGTTTGGTGACAGCATAACTGCTGTGTCATGTCTTATGCTTTCACTGCTTTCCAGACTGTATCAAAATATCCTTTATTTAAGCATTTCCATTTTCAACATTTCCAATCTCAAAAAAAAACAAAACAAAAGCTTTTAGATATGAGCGGTTCCTACACTGATAGGTCAATGAATTTCCTAACTTCCATACATCCACTAAGAGAATCACAATCTAAAACAACTACTGGCTGATCCTCTTTTTATACCATATTGTGTTCGGCTGAGTTTAATAATTGAGAATATAAACACACAAACATTGATAAATAAAAATGATAGCCCTAACATCATCCATTCTCAACCTTATAGACCTCTTTTTCTCTATTTTCTCTCTTTACTCTCTATTTTCAATTTAAAAGTTTTAAATATCTATCACAATTTTCAGAAATAGAGTAATAATGTCCAGTGTATGTTGTGCATTTCTTGAAATGAAATGCATGTATACATGTACCTGGTGTAAGCTCTTGTGTCGCTGCATCAATGGTGGACCGTGGCAGGTCTCAAAAATAGAGAAAATAATTTTGTTATATCATGATAAAAAATGGGGCTGGAGGTGGTTTGGTTAGCACCGTCGCCTCGCAGGTAGAAGATCCCTGGTTTGCGTCCCAGTTAGGATCTTTCTGCGTGGAGTTTACATGTTCTCCTCGTGCAGCGTGGGTTCTCTCTGGGTTCTCCGGCTTCCTCCCACACAGTCCAACAACATGCTGAGGTTAGTTGGTGATTCTAAATTGTCCATAGGTGTGACTGTGACTGTGCTTGGTTGTCTGTCTCTAAGTGTAGCCCTGTGATAGACCGGTGACCCCTGCCTGACCCTAGTGAGGATTAAGTGGTATGTAGATAATGGATGGATGGACAATAAAAAATAAGGAATAATCCAATCATATGATCGTATCATGTTAAAGACACTTGTGAGTACTGATTTGAGAAACATTCAGATTTTTTTTAAAATCTTTTTATTTAGTTTATTTGACAGAATGCACACAAAATAATAGATTCGAAGAATCATGCTCTCCATCATATGATCTGACCAATACTAATGCATCTCTATCAACACAGATTTTTTTTTGGTAAACAAATGACATCAAAAAGTGAAGTGTTTATTTGTGACAGTTTTGTGTAAGCATCAGTTGTGTATACAAAGAGAGCGTGACAAAATGAAAAAAAAAATACAGAGGATGATTAAACTGTGAAAATAACACAGGGTTAGGATGCAGAACCTGTTTAAAATAAACAAAGCAAATTCATATTTATGGTAAATGGCGCTGAATTTAAGCAAAACAGATTTTTATTAAAAATGAACAGAGACATAGTGACAGCACTTTAAAGAATTTCCAAACAGTGATTGTCTTTGCAATTATGGTATATACAACATTATCACTCTTCAGAAAGTGTTATAAAGGGTCAGCTCTATGTTCGGTAAATGTGATTCTGCACTGATTATATATTATGAAAGCTTGAAAATAAATCTATTTCATACATTTAAAATGGGAACCGTTTATATGTGTGTCTGGGTGTTTAAAACAAACAAAACATTTTCCTTCGAAACAGCTATTGTACGTATCTGTATTGTGCAATACCCCTGGTTACAAATATACCTCACCCGTTCATTAACAAGATTCATTTAATAGAATGAAATAGGACACAATGAAAAACCCTGCAATAAACTATTGGTGAAAATTTTGTAATATGGTGTATGTTCAATAAATCTGGACTATGTACAAAAACAATATTTATTATTACAATACAAATTAATCTTATTTACAGTTTGAAGGGATTTTAAACAATCTCATGCACTTCTGTCTAATTACTGAAAACAAAAATGAATTATTCACTCAGCACTGAGATGACTGTGCATATCCCCTTGAGTTTTAAAGAGCCAAAGTTTGAAGAATTTTCTACATTATAACAATATATCTGGGTGAACATGAGAGACTTTCATTTGCCTCATAATCACTTTTTTGGTGAAACAGACAGCTCTAGTCTTGGAAACCTGAAACCTCCTCTTGAACCACTATCACTGCTTGAGGATGAAGACAATCTTGACTTTTTAGAAGGCAGAGAAACACCTGCACCCCCCTCCACTCCTGCTTCACTGTCTCCAAGTGTCACTTCATATGAGCCCTTTGATTTCATACCAAAACCTCCAAACGTGCCAAACTTCAACTTGCCTTTCTTTCCTTTGACCTTGCTTCCTCCAAGGTCTAATGAAATGTCACCACCCTCAGCCTCTAAGTGAGCTGAAGGAGAACTAACTGCAAGCGCGCCCTCATCACTCAGAGAAGAAGACCGATGTCTTGATTTCTTAAATAGATCCAGTGAGGCTGATTTGCCTTTAGTTGTCATGCTGAGCCCAGGATCACCCTCTAATTCTAGTTTCCCCCCTGTCAGTTCCCCAGAATGTACACTTGATGTAGAGGCTTTACCCACTTTTCCACCAGTAGTTAATTCTGCCTCTGGTCCAGTAAGGTCACCTACACTACTACCCTTTGCTTTTGATTTGCCAAATAATTTTGGCATCTTTATCTTGACTTTGCCTTCACTATGTCTCAGTTCTGGACTGGGAACCTCAATATTTTGTGAACTCACTTGGCAACTAAGAGATGGAGACTGTATGTTCATGGCACCACTAGCTGCAAGTTCTGTTTCAGCTTTTCCTCCACTTTCCTGACCTTCCATCTGTGGCAGAGCAATACCAAATTTTGGTACCTTGAGTTTGGGAAATGTTACTGTACCCTCTGGGTATTGAAGGCCACCAGTTACACTTCCCCCTGAAACACTTGAATTAACTTCAGGACCACCTTTCACACCTAATGTTTTAATATCAGGCATTTTCCCTTTCACATCTGGCCCTTCCAAATGAACCTTTGCACTGTCAGTGTTCAAGCTACCAGAGGGTAAATCAATGGCAGGTGATTTAAATCCCTCAGATAAAGATGCATCACCTTTCACTTTTGGAGATTTGATATCTAATTCCACATCGGGAAAATGAAGCTTCCCAAAAAGAGGCTTCTTTACCTTTGTTCCTTTGACGTGAATATTGGGTGTCTCTAGATCCAGATCTAATGCTGGTGTATCTATGTCAACATTAGGTTTCTTTGCCTTTCCTTTCACTTTGGGAAGTTTAAACTTTCCCTTTTTGCCTTTTAAATTGATATCTATATCAGGAGCATCAAGACTTGCATCAGTTTCTGGGAGTGTAACTTCAGTTTTGGAACCTTTTGCTCCTATGCTGAACTTCGGTGTCTTAACTGTGGATTCAGGCCCTTCTACCTCTGAAGATTTCATTGCAAATTTAGGTCCTTTAAATTTGGGAAAGGTAACAGCAGACTTGTCGAAATCAATACCTTTGACATCTCCCTCAATTTTAGGCACAGATACATCCATGTCCCCTTTGACTTTAGGGGTTTTTAGACTGATATCAAAATCAGGGGTTTTTGAATCGATTTTAGATTTGGGAAGGTTTATATCAACATGTGGACCCTCCACTTCAGAACCACCAAATGATGGCATTTTGAATTTGGGCATTTCAAACTGCCCCTTGGGCCCCTCAAAGTCAACTGCTGGACCTTTGATGTCTACATTAGGTGCAGCTATTTTCCCTTCAATCTCTGGAACTGACACGTCCACATCACCTCCAAATTTGGGACCTTTCAAATTGATATCCATTTCTGGCATGGAAATTTTAGGGACTGAGATACTTGGCATCTTGAATTTTGGTCCTTTGATCTTACCACTGGGACT